ATCTCCTAAAAGACAAATCCTTGATGAAAATGGAAGGTTAAATCCCAAACATCTTCCAAGATATTTCAACACAATTTCCCAAAAAGGTTGAATCTTTGAACATTGCCAGAGAGCATGAATGTATGTGCCAGTTTCTTGTTTACATTTCCAGCATTTATTATCAATCAGACAACCCATTCTAAAAAGTCGCATTGGTGTATAATAATACCTATGTAATACCTTATACTGGATAAATTTACCTCTTGCTTCCTTTATGTACCTTCCACTGTAGGACAAAATTCTTTCAAAAGTGTCCTTATCTATGTCACTATTAATGTCTCTTTGCCAAATCAATCTCAATGTTCACAGTTCTTATCACCAATCCTTAAACTGAGTTGATAAAATTTAGATGATTTTTGAAGGGGTCTTGGTAGTTCGCAAAATTTTTCTAAAACATTCTTTTCTTGTCCCATAGAAACTTTGCCACCAAACAGTTTCTAATCTGTAAATATTTCCAGAAGTGATCCCGGCCTTCTAAATGAAATTTTTCTTTTAAATTAGTATAAGATAAAAGCTTATCATCACTAAATAAATCCTTTAGAGTTCGTATTCCATTTCTAAACCATTGTCCCCAAAACAGGGGCTTTTTCCCTACCTTAACATAAGGATTATTCCATACTGATGAGTAATGCTGACACATGTGAGAAATCTTACATTTTCTGTGGACAATTTTCCAAACCTCTTTAGAATGAAGCAATATTGGGTTGGTCATATGATGCTGTAAGTTCCCCTCTGGGTTTTGTGAAAAAGCCTCTATTGGCCGAAAAGGATAAGTACGTTGTCGTTCTATTAATACCCAATCTAAATCTAAATCCTCTTCCTCCCAGTGTCTAGTGAGCTTAGACATTTCAAATGCTATTTTATAGAGCTCTACATTCGGTAATGCTAAACCTCCCCTATCTCTAGGCAAACATAATTTATTAACGCCAATCCTGGGTCTTTCACCTTCCCACTAAAAATTCTTAATCATAGCATTATATCGCTTATATATCTGGTGAGGCATAGTAACAGGGACCATCCCAGATATGTAATTAAACTGTGGTGCTATTGTCATCTTTATTATATTAATCTTTCCCCACAAAGTTAACATAATTTTCTTCCAAGTATCTAATTTTGTTTGTATTTTCTGCAACAAAGGTACCATATTCATATTCAATATATTCTCTAAATTAGGGCTTAGGTGGATACCTAAATATCTAATCCCTTTATTTATCCATTTAAACTTAAATGCACTGACTGAGGAAGAAAAACACACTGCTGATACTGGCATAGCCTCTGACTTATGCCAGTTGATTTTATATCCTGAAAATCTGATATATACATTTTTATATTTTTAAGTTAACATTCATTTTATTTTGAGTAAAAGCAAGATTAAATTTTTTCTGTTAACATTTAATTTTATTTATTAGTTTTAATTTATTTAGTTTTAGCTATTTTAGCTGTTTATTTTGTTTCAAGTTATCTTTTTGTTTGTTTTTGTTTAGCCTCATTGGTTGCATTTTCTGTCTTTGTGACTTTGTCATATTGGTTGTGTTTGTGTGTTTAGGTCATATCCTCAGCGATGGTGGAGACGGGTGTACGTGGAAGAGTTCTATCCCATGGTGCACCTCGGTGACTCTTACCTTGAACAGATGCTGGTTCAACATGGTTTAAAGGTAAGAAACAAGTCTGCTGTCAAAAGTGAAAGTGTAATTAAATTGGGACACATTTTGAATATCGATAACCTCAGAGGAGAACAAACAGACCTAAAGTTGACCGTCTGTTATCTGCAGGGTAGCTTGATTCAACAAACAGTATTTTTTAATCATTTTACTTGAACATGCACAAGCATAGATAAATACAGACATTTAATAGCTGACATAAAGAGACAATGTGTGTTTGTATTATTTATGGAGAGATGATATAACGAGGAGGAATCAAAATGAAACCATGTCGTTAAAATATTGTTTGCACAAAAAACATGCCACTTTAATGCTTTGTAATATTTTTAATAAACATGCACTGGTATAAGTGTTGGTATTTACAAAGATTTAACTATTTTGTGAGCGGTATAGCTTAGTACCTCACAATTTAAAGTAAAATTAATTTTATCCTCAGTCTATATATATGAATATAGGGCTTGACAATGTGGGAAAAAACAACCAAAATTGTGATAAAAAATAAAAAAATCTATCTTATGTATCTAATCTATCTTAACTGCTTATATTTCACTATGGCTATGAATAATTTTGAATACAATGAATAATAATAATAATAATAATATAAACATTACTGAAAAATAAGAAATATTACTATTGTAATATTTCACTGTAAAAAATGTAGTATTTAAAAATATATGTTGTGATTTTAGTTTTAATTTCTTTTTTGATTAGTTGTGCAGCCCTAAGATAATGAATGAATAATGAATACATGAATATACAAGATAAAGTATTGGATATTAAAAATAATGTTTTTCTTTGTTGATGATATGATTTGCTTCCCTCAATATATTTTATATCAGTAAATTAA